TATATATATAAAGGGCCCACGATCAATTTATTGATCATCCTGGCTCTTGGTTTGAATTCAGAGTTTGCCTTCTCTTAGATGAGTTGCCGTCCAAGGCTAACGAGTCCCATCCACCCAGGGTGCCTGGGATGTTTTTGCTTGTCTTATCTCTGGTGGGGATTGAACTCCAGACCACCTAATGACCGCACGCTCATTTAATTGTCTTAACTATTTTCGTGTTTATATTAATAACCATATCTGGTTCTTGAAGATGAGTTGCTGAATAATCATTACATGTTTCGTTTCTTTGTTTGTGTTTCAGAAAACCCAATCACATCTTGTGAAAATGACTGACATCTGGCACAAATGCCTGACATCTGGCACAAATGTCTGACATCTGGCACAAATGCCTGACATCTGGCACAAATGACTGACATCTGGCACAAATGCCTGACATCTGGCACAAATGCCTGACATCTGGCACAAATGCCTGACATCTGGCACAAATGCCTGACATCTGCAAGATTTTAGTTTAGGGTTTATTCGGTTTTTTTTTTTTTTTTTTTTTTTTTTTTTTTTTTTTTTTTTTTTTTTTTTTTTTTTTTTTTGTTTTTTTTTTTTTTTTTTTTTTTTTTTTTTAATAATGGTGAGCTTAGGGTGAAGAAAATACACAAATATATGCAAATTTAAAGAAATCTACAAAAATCTTGACAAAACTCCACAAATCTAAAAAAATCTATACCAAATACAAATCTTAACAAATTTATATATGGTTTCATTTTCATAGGTGACTTAAAATTATTTAATAAAACAGAAGTTATTTTTTGCCCACTTCGTAATTTATTAAATTGATTTTTAACGGTGCCAGATTACAATAAATTCTCATGAATATCTAGGTACAATTATCAACTTTCAATAACATATGACATAACACCCAATTCACAACACATTTCTCCATAATTAATTCACCTCATTGTATTCTCTATTAATTGATTGTTTTCCGTACTTAATAAATTAATAATTACAAAACTAGAAAGTGTTGACTTTAATTGATCCTGTTTAATGAATTGATTACAGTTATAGTTAGTTGTATGTGAAGGTGGAACATAAAAATTTGAAGATATGATACGTTTATTTTATTAATCCATATAAGCGGTAAATTCTTTTTTTATTACAAAGTACTTATTAATTTTCATCACATACATAAATATTAATGACAAAGATAAACAGTTTTTAACAAGAACAATTTAACATAAGACATCTTAAGTATTTATCAAGTGCAACATGACGTATCCTCATGACGATGAGCATATCCTCTTACTTTTCGTAATGTGTGATATGGGTGACCGTCTGCCACAACAACATCGACTGGCCCTGACCTGACACAACTACATTGTTGTGTCCTGACTTTCACTGCAATCAACAATAATTTTGATCCCTTCTCTTCTCCGTGCCGTATTGTAGGCTTCGATGGCGTTTTCCAGGGAGAAGCGATGAGTGACCAGCTGCTTCACGTTGATCTTTCCTGATGAGATGGCTTCGATGACCACATCGTAGCTGTAGTAGATGCAATTGGTCAAGAAGTTATAAGTGTTTTAGGTAACGTGGCGTACACAATTATAAAACAGTTTCAGTTTTCTTGTAAATTGAAATATCAAAATGTGTTCGCCGAGGTAAACATCAAGGGTTAAAGTCTTAGTTAATTATTATGGCGTCTCTGTAATTTTAGCCACCACCACTTGTCTCCACTTTATTTTGTTTTGATATTGGCCGATAAAATGTTCTGTGCCACCCCTCTCTTGATTGGGAAAAGGTTGTTTACGTTCAAATACGTCCTATTTGTTCCAAAAAATGCTATCCCGTGAAGCAATTTCTGGAATTTCTTTACTAGAGTGTTCTGATTTAATTCTCATGTATAGGCCACAGCTTTCCTAGCCGGGAAAGAGATTTTAGTATATTTCCTAGACATATACGAGACGTTCTATAATTGCCAGATTGCACTCTTTAAGTGTGTGTTTAAATTAATAAATTGTATTTTTCGAGGTTTGTACATTTTCACTTGCTGTGCTGTAGTTAATACAGTTTTTTGTTTGTTGTTTATTTTTCCTTGTATATTTGAATTTGTATTTTTATAGCGGTTTAATAATATAATTAAATTGAACAGCGTTAGCCTCACTACCTTTGGTAGCGTTTTCTTTGCATACTGTTTTTCTCAGTCTTTTGTTACGCATTGTTCATTCTAGGAGTCAAATCTTAAAACAGATTAAATTTTCCAAACCATAAAAATGGTACGAAGTTGGTAGGTAACATTCATTGAGGCGGCAGACAATGGTAGACAGAAATGTGGGGAAGGGGGGGAACATTGAAATATGGGAAGAAACCGACTAATTGTTAACATATAATCATATTTATTGGTATTACTATTAATTGAATATGAAATAGAAAATAACAGGGGGGGGGGGATTTAACAGTCAACAGATCTTTCCAACCGCAGGCACATAGCAGGGAGGTTTTGTTGGGTTTTTTTTCTGTTTGTACATCGCTTGCAGGTAGCGTATATTCATATAATCATATTTATTGGGATTACTATTAATTGAATATGAAATAGAAAATAACAGGGGGGGGGGATTTAACAGTCAACAGATCTTTCCAACCGCCAGCACATAGCAGGGATGTTTTTGTGGGTTTTTTTTCTGTTTGTACAGCGCTTGCAAGTAGAGTATATAGTTTTAGTTTTATTTTGATAGTAATTTGCTAATGATGCCATTGGATTTCTGTTAATCCTCGGGGGGAAAAAATTGTCATGAAACAGACATCAACCAATTAAAATGTAGTTTTAATCAATGACGTGGCTTGTTCGAATGAGGTCAATGTCTGTGTTCAGTTTAGAATTTAGAACATAGGTGGGAATAGCTACATGATATCAATGTTACGCTAGTACTCCCTTCGAAGTGTTCTATCGAGGCTCTTACTTGGCGATTAGGGAATAGACTCGTCACCCCGTAGTCTTGCTCATGTTGAGAAATGTTTCGAGTCTTAAAAAAATGGCTTTCAAAAAAAGAGATTTCCACTGTTGCACAGCGGTGGGAAAAAAATCCTCGCTCCAGGCGAATATGCCAACTGCTTGCATAAGAATGTGTGAAAGACAACCGTAGAGCTACTTATAGAACTCACTTGTTACAAAACCTGGCCATGCCGCGAATGTCTAACTGTTTCAAGGTGGCAGCCACCAAAGGGACTTCCACTGTCTCGCCGCCGAATCCAACCACCACTACCGTCCCCGTGGGTCTTGTACTCTGTGAAAAATGACGACGTTTATTTTTTCAAGCCAAATAAGGGCCGTTTCAGTGACCAGTTAGTCATTCCATTTGTTAAGTTTCACTTCTTTTCCTTCACCATTTTAGTAATAACCGACTAGCCCAACCTGTGGTGCAGCTAAGTGTTAGTGTCGCCCCGAACGGGCTAAGATTTTTCCCGGCCCCCGTACATGAAAAAAAAAAGTCTGTCGTCAGGCTAAAATGCAACTCTCGTCGATATAATGGAGGGAAAAAAAATGCGATGCCTGGAGTGGACTACCCCCCCCCCTTTTCCACCCACTTCCTACACCACTGATTCCAACATATGTCAGGTGTTGCGCATATTATGATATTTTAATTTGCTTTTTAAGTTAAACCTGCGAATGGCACACCCCAAGCAGGCATGACAAGATAGGCGAAAGTGACTGAAAAGTTGAAGGATTGCCAATTAGAAGGAATTAATGAAAATTCAAAAGATATTAATACACAAAGTTCAAGAATAGTTCATGACAATAAGCTATAAAACACGTAGATTTATGTGATTAAAAAAATCTATAAAAGTTATTTTAAAAAACTACAGAAAACACTGACTTAGTACTAGGTTACCCCCAACCCCCAAAGCCACATACACACACTCTTTAACTAAATTCTTAACAATATCTTATCTGGCTTTTTCCCCCTCTGTACCTAGACAAAACATATTTCTGAGCATTCGTTTAACGCTGTTTCTAAATTCTCCATGGAGAACCCACATAAATTGCATTGGCAACTCCGGACTGGTGACCGCTGCACTCCACGGACACATCCACCTCACGTCCCATAGCCTCGACCACCCTCTTCGATGTCTCTTTGGCACCCTCGTCTCCGACCAGCACAGTGAAGTCAGCGCCAATGCTCTTGACAAAGTCGAGTCTCCCTTGATTGATATCTGGGTGTGTAAAAATTACTTTCATGAAAACAAAACTGCGAACGTGTCGATAAGAAGCCTTCTTCGGTGAACAAACACTAGTAAAAAAAATAAAAACGTTAAAATAAACACTTATCTGCAATGTAGTATCAAACACTTAGCTGCAATGTAGTATTAAACACTTACCTGCAATGTAGTATTAAACACTTATCTGCAATGAAGTATTAAACACTTATCTGCAATGTAGTATTAAACACTTAGCTGCGATTAAAATTAACTACGCAGTTCATGTTAAGGTGTGGTAACTTTCTCATTCTGTATTGTAATTATAATTTTTTTTTAAATAGTTTTTTAGTATAAATTCTCTACCTGTGACGCAGACCTTTGCTGCTCCTCTAGCCTTGGCGGCTAAAAGTACTACCATCCCGAGTGGCCCTGGTGAAATAAATTAAATCATTATGAAAGTACTAACCATCACAAGTGGCCCTGGTGAAATTAATTAAAGGATTATAAAAGTACTACATCCCAAGTGGCCCTGGGGGGAATTAATTAAATCATTATAAAAGCACTACCATCCCAAGTTGCCCTGGGTGAATTAATTAAAGGATTATAAAAGTACTATCATCCCAAATAACCCTAGTGGAATTAATTAAATCATTATAAAAGTACTACCATCCCAAATGGCCCTGGTGGAATTAATTAAAGCATTATAAAAGTACTACCACCCCAAGTGGCCCTGGGGGAATCAATTAAATCATTATAAAAGTACTACCATCCCAAGTTGCCCTGGGTGAAATAATTAAAGGATTATAAAAGTACTATCATCCCAAATAACCCTAGTGGAATTAATTAAATCATTATAAAAGTACTACCATCCCAAGTGGCCCTGGTGGAATTAATTAAAGCATTATAAAAGTAGAGGGCTTTGAAATAACAAGTGGCTCTGCTTGTGTTATACAAATATTTGTTATTAATAAGAAGCAAAATTCCTTTTATTTTTATTCGTAGTGTTTTGGGGGTTAGCCACTTAATCAATCAATTCATTCTTATTCAATACAAGAAAAATGTTCTTTCCAAAACTGTTTCCATCACAAAAAGCTGACGTCATTTGACACGTTGAATGCAAATAAAAAAAATAAAACCAAAAGCTTTCTTATAATAATCACCGTTTCTAAATCTTTTTTTTTTTTAATCCTTGATAGAAAGGACTGTACAGTTTGAGGGGGTTTTCGAAACGGGACATTTTAATAAACTGAATATGAATGGCATAATTTGATTAAGAAGACATTATGTGTACATAAAAAATGCATATATACACAAGTAGTGTAGTAGGGTCAAATCAAGGCACAAAATGGAGGCGCTCATTAAGGCGCGCGCCTGTGTGCCTTAGGCGCGCCAAGGGGCATAACCCGATAATTACTGCCTTATAAAAGTGACCTCCCTTTGTTGTCCGAGCGTAATTATTTTTGTATTGTGTAATTATATTAATTATATTGTATTGTTGTCCGAGCGTAATTATACTTAAGTTTGTAATTGATTTGTAATTATTTTTTTTTGTCCGAGTGTAATTATATTAATTAGAGTTGTATTGTTGTACAATGGTACCTTTGATTAATGACGACATCAAAGACGACATCAAAGAGATAACAAAAGAGGAATTGTTTTTTATATATTACTTTTATTCATATTTATTATGACAAGCGTATGAGTCAAGGATTCAACAGAATCACAATTTTATTGTATATTTTTATTATGAGTGGTTCTCAAATTTCTATTGAGTGGTTCTCATTTTCTCTAATGAGTGGTTCTCATAGTGTTTTGGTTGTATAATTTCTTATATTTTTAATTAGTTTTCTTGTATATTTTAAGTGGTAATCACGATGTCGGGGTTGATTTTCTAATAAGTGGTACTCATTAGGTGTGACTCATAACGAGTTTTCTTCTAGTTATGGAATAATTCTGTTGTAACAGGATAAGTTTATTGAATTTTATTGATGAGTAAGCAAATATTTCTCATTTTCAGTAGGTTCTCAAAGTGTTTTGGTTGTATATTTTCTTGTATTTTAATTAGTTTTCTTGTCTATTTTAAGTGATTCTCAAAGTATGGGGGTCATTTTTGGTTGCATTTTAATAGGTTTTCTTATATTTTTAATTAGTTTTCTTGTATATTTAAAGTGGTTATCACGATGTCGGGGTTGATTTTCTAATAAGTGGTTCTCATTAGGTGTGAATCATAACGAGTTTTCTTCTCGTAATGGAATAAGGCTGGTGTAACAGGATAACTTTATTGAATTTTATTGATGAGTAATCAAATATTTCTCATTTTCAGGTGGTTCTCAAAGTGATTTGATTGTATATTTTCTTGTATTTGAATTAGTTTTCTTGTCTATTGTATATGGTTTGGTAGGCAGGACAGGTGGTTTTAAGCTTCTTCTTGGCAAGTTGAGGACCGAGTAGGGTCCTAATTAGAGTTATTGTAGTGTATTGTTTAAATTGTTTAGGCTTAGTGGGTTATGTTTTGTACGCATGACAGATGTTTTAAGTTTTTTCTTGGCAATTTTGAGGACCGAGTAGGGTCCTAATTAGAGTTATTGTAATGTGTTGTTTACATTTTTTAGTCTAATGGGGTTATATTTTTTTTAATTATCAGTGACTTCAACTCGTGACTTACTATCACCACACCTGCGCTCACAAGTCACGCTACACCGCGCATTGTAACCAAAGGTCACAGCTCGTCCATTGTTCACATTTCCCCGCTACGCTTGTTAACAAAAGGGCTGACGTGTTCTGTGAGTGGCGGGGCGCTCTGGTTAGCCTATAAACAAAAAAGGGCGCCCGGGGAGCTAGCTACAAGAAATTTTAAAAGTAGTGTTGTGTATTTTATACTGACAGGGCTCCCTCTTGGTTCTACCAGATATTCCGACAGACTTCATATCAAGCACTAGGCATTCCACTGAGAATAAAACGTAAGAAATGTATGGATTAACCCTGTTTCCCATGTCATCCCCCAACCTTCATGATTCGTCCGACTATGGGAACACCTGCACCTGAGGCAAATCTAACAGGTGGTTAGTACAAGGGATCTCATCTATTGGACTGGGGGAATGAGGGGTGTTACTATAGCAGGAGTCACCGCCCCACCCCACTTGATAAACACTTGGTACCGATGTACCTTCCCATCTCTCCCACTCAGCTCGACTCTAAGCTTTTTCCAACCCACCAATCAACATAGTACCCGCCCTTTCCCGACCCAACTTTACGAGGGCCAGCTACCATAACATTAAAAAACTTAACACTCTTGTTCGTCTCACGTCGACGCTTAAATTTTTTTTGTCCCCACCACACCTAAAAATTGTTCACCCTTTGCAAACTTTACAACAGACCCATCTACCACATCATAACACCCCGTTACTAGGTTCGTTGTCCCCGTCACAACTAACAAATGTGCCACCCTTCAAACTTTACAGCATGCTCAGCTACCACAGCATAACACCCCGTTTGAGTTTTGTCTTGTTTCTCAACTAACTTTCTGTCAAACTTACCAACGGCGGATACATCTGGATTTTTTCAAAGGCAGTTTTTAATTTTCTCAAATCCAGTTTTTTAAAGTTCTCAAGTGCAACTTTTAATCGTTACCACGCAGTGTTTTAATAGTTACCATGCAACTTTTATTTGTTACCATGCAGTGTTTTAATCGTTACCATGCAATGTTTTAAAGTTCTCAAGTGCAACTTTTAATTGTTACCACGCAGTGTTTTAATAGTTATCAGGCAACTTTTAATTGTTACCATGCAGTGTTTTAATTTTGACCATGCAGTTTTTAAAGTTCTCAAATGCAACTTTTAATCTTTACCACGCAATGTTTTAATAGTTACCATGCAACTTTTAAGGGTTACCATGCCGTGTTTTAAGTGCTACCAAGCCGTGTTTTAATTGTTACCATGCAGTGTTTTAAGTGCTACCAAGCAGGGTTTTAAGTGTTACCATGCAGTGTTTTAATCGTTACCAGGCACACATTTCATTTCATCTACCCACTAAACCTCTTTCCATCCAACATTACCCGTCAAAACTTTACGATGGTCATCTACGATATCATATACCACGTTAGTGTTTTGTCTTCTCTGACCACAGACATCTGTCTTCGTCTCTTCTAAGAGCTCTTCCTACCTCCATCTTTTTTCTAATCATCTCAACTCTTTCAATATCTTTCATGCTACCACAGCCAAGTCCACATTCAAACTTTATTAATAGGTCCAACTTCACTCAAACATTACTATGTCTTACTCGAGTCTCATAACACCTCTTAACCTTACTGTTTTTAACTTTTCATCGACCTCCAGAACCAAAGTTCATATCAACTAATGTAGCTAAACTTTTCCAACACAACTATCGGAGTGTCCTCAAACACATAACTTCCATTTTTCGAGATGACCGACTACCCAACCACTTGTATTCCACGGTTATGTACCAGTTACATGACTAGAGATTACACTAGGCCTTCCATTCATCTCCGGTAATCAGGGCGTTTATCCCATGTAAGCTACACACTTACGATGCAATCTCCAAAACACACAACTCCTAACTTACATCTTACAACTAAAAACTCGCCAAACAATCTCCAAAACTCACATTTCACAATTCACAACTCGCATGTCAAAGCTCACACTTCACAAAGCACAACTAACATCTCACAAATCACAACTACCAAGTTTTGACCACAGGGCAAAAATAACAACAACATCGTAAAATAAAACTTAAATTGCAAAAAAGGATAAAAATATTTCGTAGAAGGAGGAGGACTTTTTCTCGAGGATTATTGGGAAGAAGAAAGTTTCAGAAGACAGCAGGTTGGGGGTTGAAAGGTAGATGAGTCCCTTTTCTGGAGGATGAGTAGGAAGAAGAAAGATTCAGAACACAAGAGGTTGGGGGGTTGAGAGAAGACTAAACTCAGCTTCGGTAGGCTCTAATGAGTAGGAGGAAAGGCTAAGACCAAAAAAGATTAGGGATAGAGTCTTATTTCAGAGAAGGATGAGGCAGAATAAATACTTAGACCAAAGAAGGTAGTAGGTGAGAGGAGATTAAACTCAGTTTCCTTGGAATCCAAGGATGAGGAGGAGGAGGAAAGGATCAGATCAACGGAGGTTAAGCGAAGAGGAACTTTTCGGCGGAGGGGGAGAAGGACATGTTCAGAGCAAAGTAGGTTGGTTGTGAGAGGCCACTAAATTCAGCTTCATCAGTATCCGAGAAGGAGGAGGAGGAGGAAATATTTTTATCCTTTTTTGCAATTTAAGTTTTATTTTACGATGTTGTTGTTATTTTTGCCCTGTGGTCAAAACTTGGTAGTTGTGATTTGTGAGATGTTAGTTGTGCTTTGTGAAGTGTGAGCTTTGACATGCGAGTTGTGAATTGTGAAATGTGAGTTTTGGAGATTGTTTGGCGAGTTTTTAGTTGTAAGATGTAAGTTAGGAGTTGTGTGTTTTGGAGATTGCATCGTAAGTGTGTAGCTTACATGGGATAAACGCCCTGATTACCGGAGATGAATGGAAGGCCTAGTGTAATCTCTAGTCATGTAACTGGTACATAACCGTGGAATACAAGTGGTTGGGTAGTCGGTCATCTCGAAAAATGGAAGTTATGTGTTTGAGGACACTCCGATAGTTGTGTTGGAAAAGTTTAGCTACATTAGTTGATATGAACTTTGGTTCTGGAGGTCGATGAAAAGTTAAAAACAGTAAGGTTAAGAGGTGTTATGAGACTCGAGTAAGACATAGTAATGTTTGAGTGAAGTTGGACCTATTAATAAAGTTTGAATGTGGACTTGGCTGTGGTAGCATGAAAGATATTGAAAGAGTTGAGATGATTAGAAAAAAGATGGAGGTAGGAAGAGCTCTTAGAAGAGACGAAGACATATGTCTGTGGTCAGAGAAGACAAAACACTAACGTGGTATATGATATCGTAGATGACCATCGTAAAGTTTTGACGGGTAATGTTGGATGGAAAGAGGTTTAGTGGGTAGATGAAATGAAATGTGTGCCTGGTAACGATTAAAACACTGCATGGTAACACTTAAAACCCTGCTTGGTAGCACTTAAAACACTGCATGGTAACAATTAAAACACGGCTTGGTAGCACTTAAAACACGGCATGGTAACCCTTAAAAGTTGCATGGTAACTATTAAAACATTGCGTGGTAAAGATTAAAAGTTGCATTTGAGAACTTTAAAAACTGCATGGTCAAAATTAAAACACTGCATGGTAACAATTAAAAGTTGCCTGATAACTATTAAAACACTGCGTGGTAACAATTAAAAGTTGCACTTGAGAACTTTAAAACATTGCATGGTAACGATTAAAACACTGCATGGTAACAAATAAAAGTTGCATGGTAACTATTAAAACACTGCGTGGTAACGCTTAAAAGTTGCACTTGAGAACTTTAAAAAACTGGATTTGAGAAAATTAAAAACTGCCTTTGAAAAAATCCAGATGTATCCGCCGTTGGTAAGTTTGACAGAAAGTTAGTTGAGAAACAAGACAAAACTCAAACGGGGTGTTATGCTGTGGTAGCTGAGCATGCTGTAAAGTTTGAAGGGTGGCACATTTGTTAGTTGTGACGGGGACAACGAACCTAGTAACGGGGTGTTATGATGTGGTAGATGGGTCTGTTGTAAAGTTTGCAAAGGGTGAACAATTTTTAGGTGTGGTGGGGACAAAAAAAATTAAGCGTCGACGTGAGACGAACAAGAGTGTTAAGTTTTTTAATGTTATGGTAGCTGGCCCTCGTAAAGTTGGGTCGGGAAAGGGCGGGTACTATGTTGATTGGTGGGTTGGAAAAAGCTTAGAGTCGAGCTGAGTGGGAGAGATGGGAAGGTACATCGGTACCAAGTGTTTATCAAGTGGGGTGGGGCGGTGACTCCTGCTATAGTAACACCCCTCATTCCCCCAGTCCAATAGATGAGATCCCTTGTACTAACCACCTGTTAGATTTGCCTCAGGTGCAGGTGTTCCCATAGTCGGACGAATCATGAAGGTTGGGGGATGACATGGGAAACAGGGTTAATCCATACATTTCTTACGTTTTATTCTCAGTGGAATGCCTAGTGCTTGATATGAAGTCTGTCGGAATATCTGGTAGAACCAAGAGGGAGCCCTGTCAGTATAAAATACACAACACTACTTTTAAAATTTCTTGTAGCTAGCTCCCCGGGCGCCCTTTTTTGTTTATAGGCTAACCAGAGCGCCCCGCCACTCACAGAACACGTCAGCCCTTTTGTTAACAAGCGTAGCGGGGAAATGTGAACAATGGACGAGCTGTGACCTTTGGTTACAATGCGCGGTGTAGCGTGACTTGTGAGCGCAGGTGTGGTGATAGTAAGTCACGAGTTGAAGTCACTGATAATTAAAAAAAATATAACCCCATTAGACTAAAAAATGTAAACAACACATTACAATAACTCTAATTAGGACCCTACTCGGTCCTCAAAATTGCCAAGAAAAAACTTAAAACATCTGTCATGCGTACAAAACATAACCCACTAAGCCTAAACAATTTAAACAATACACTACAATAACTCTAATTAGGACCCTACTCGGTCCTCAACTTGCCAAGAAGAAGCTTAAAACCACCTGTCCTGCCTACCAAACCATATACAATAGACAAGAAAACTAATTCAAATACAAGAAAATATACAATCAAATCACTTTGAGAACCACCTGAAAATGAGCAATCTTTGATTACTCATCAATAAAATTCAATAAAGTTATCCTGTTACACCAGACTTATTCCATTACGAGAAGAAAACTCGTTATGATTCACACCTAATGAGAACCACTTATTAGAAAATCAACCCGGACATCGTGATAACCACTTTAAATATACAAGAAAACTAATTAAAAATATAAGAAAACCTATTAAAATGCAACCAAAAATGACCCCCATACTTTGAGAATCACTTAAAATAGACAAGAAAACTATTAAAAATATAAGAAAGTATACAATCAAAACACTTTGAGAATCCCTGAAAATGAGAAATATTTGCTTACTCATCAATAAAATTCAATAAAGTTATCTTGTTACAACCACCTTATTCCATTACGAGAAGAAAACTCGTTATGATTCACACCTAATGAGAACCACTTATTAGAAAATCAACCCCGACTCTGTGATAACCACTTTAAATATACAAGAAAACTAATTAAAAATATAAGAAAACCTATTAAAATGCAACCAAAAATGACCCCCATACTTTGAGAATCACTTAAAATAGACAAGAAAACTAATTAAAATACAAGAAAATATACAACCAAAACACTTTGAGAACCTACTGAAAATGAGAAATATTTGCTTACTCATCAATAAAATTCAATAAACTTATCCTGTTACAACAGAATTATTCCATAACTAGAAGAAAACTCGTTATGAGTCACACCTAATGAGTACCACTTATTAGAAAATCAACCCCGACATCGTGATTACCACTTAAAATATACAAGAAAACTAATTAAAAATATAAGAAATTATACAACCAAAACACTATGAGAACCACTCATTAGAGAAAATGAGAACCACTCAATAGAAATTTGAGAACCACTCATAATAAAAATATACAATAAAATTGTGATTCTGTTGAATCCTTGACTCATACGCTTGTCATAATAAATATGAATAAAAGTAATATATAAAAAACAATTCCTCTTTTGTTATCTCTTTGATGTCGTCTTTGATGTCGTCATTAATCAAAGGTACCATTGTACAACAATACAACTCTAATTAATATAATTACACTCGGACAAAAAAAAATAATTACAAATCAATTACAAACTTAAGTATAATTACGCTCGGACAACAATACAATATAATTAATATAATTACACAATACAAAAATAATTACGCTCGGACAACAAAGGGAGGTCACTTTTATAAGGCAGTAATTATCGGGTTATGCCCCTTGGCGCGCCTAAGGCACACAGGCGCGCGCCTTAATGAGCGCCTCCATTTTGTGCCTTGATTTGACCCTACTACACTACTTACACACATAATATATGTGTGTGTGTGTGTGTGTTTAGTGTGTAGTGTCTGCGTTTGTGTGTGTGTCTGTGCACGCGCGCGCGCGTGTGTGTGTGTGATTTTTTTTCTGAAGGAAAGCGTATTGGAATTGATTGAAAATTTTATTTTAAAATTCAAACTACTTAAACTTTCTTCAGATAAATTACAACTTGCCTCTTGACAAACTAAGACAACTGATAGAAATGGCGCGATCATCGAAGTGCTAGCTAACAAAAGCTTTGTTGTGGGGCAAAAGTCTACTATCAGCTAGTGAAGGAGAGTTATTGATGTCCGATTTAAAATTAACCTCTTTCTATGTTGAATTATCAGAAGATGGGGCTTTTAAAATAAATATTAAGGCTTAGAAGACACCTACAGGCAGCTGATATTGAATCTCACAAAGTCATGGACCGGTCAGGATTTGATGTCTTTAAATTCATAGCTGAATGAAACTTCCTAGAATCTCTTCCAATACTCTCGCCAAGCCTTCAAATTGTTTCTTACGATCTGTGTGTATGTGGCGTCATGTGATCAGAACTTTTCAAAATAAAGGCTCATCAAGAACTATTCACGACCCACCATGGGACAGCCAAGGCTTTTTGATCTGGCTCTAATCTCAATTAAAATAGTTACGGTAAAGGATAATTGATTTAGCTCAAGTGATTGACAGGTTTGCAGCTTTGAAAATCAGGAAAGGACAACTTTTGAATAAATTAAATTTAATGTCAAAATAACGATTACGTAACGCTGTTACAGTTCTTAAATAATCTACATTGACCTTTGACCTCCTGAACTTCAATTATTGTTTTTTGGGTCATTGTTACACTGTGGACTTATTTAACAAGGAGAAATTCATCATGGAAGTTGGAGGGGGGGGGGGGACCACACCATGAATATACCGCACCGGGTGACACCAACCCTAGGTACGCCACTGGAGTGCAATGGGGCAATTTGTTTATTATTCTAGTATTAAAAAGAGAAAAGCAGTTTACATTGACCTTTGACCTCCTGAACTTCAATTATTGTTTTTTGGGTCATTGTTACACTGTGGACTTATTTAACAAGGAGAAATTCATCATGGAAGTTAGAGGGGGGGGGGGACCACACCATGAATATACCGCACCGGGTGACACCAACCCTAGGTACGCCACTGGAGTGCAATGGGGCAATTTGTTTATTATTCTAGTATTAAAAAGAGAAAAGCAGTTATGAATGTAATAAATTTGGCTAAATATTTTTAAAATTCTGTTATTCAGGAACATATGTTACAAAATTAGCACATTTGATCATATAAATAAAACACAAACACCTTCAACTTAATAATAATTTCTGAAACTTGTACTATTTGTATGCTCCCGTTAAATTTAGATTCTAAATTTTTGTTACAAATTATTAATGTGTTTTAAGTTTTCACTCTATCTAGCTCAACATACATCGAATAGAGTACATTTAAAACTAGGCAGCAAATAACTATTTTTCAAAGCAAAATGCCATCCTACAATTAATATTGAACACCTATCCCTAATTTTAAGTCATGCGTTTTTAAAGAAAAATAATTTGAAAACAGGTTGCACATGTTTGATGCGTAAAAGGAACTATATCACAATTATAGACCTTTATATTGATGTAAAAGTAGTTTCATACTGTGTTATTAAAGTTTTTAAACTTGCGAAGTTGCTAAGATTATTAAATAAAAATACCGTTTCGGGCGAATACAGGCGAATAACAAAAAGTTAAATGTCTGCTTATGATCAGAAGCGGCCAATTTTCTGCACAGTACGATATTTATAATCGAGCATTGTAAGCCTCTAGCAAGGTTAGCGTTAAATATACGGGTAATCCAATATTTAGCGGATCGATATTTCATAGGTTCCACTAACTGTAATCGTTTCAAGGCACCAGTAACTTTTTTTTATTTTTAAATGACAAGTTAGTCGGTTTTATTTCTAAAATTTTCGTTTTACTTTACTCATTCCCCCCCTCCTCCCCGGAGAGATGCCAGAAAGAAACCCTGCCCAAGACACGAATCTAGCACCCGCCTTTGAAATGTCTCAAGAAATAAATCAATGGTCATCGCGAAACAGGTGGTTCGGGGTGCCGCTCAAATGTCACTGGGATTATTTTCAGTCTCTCCCGAGACTCACGCGTGACATTTGCATTGAGAGGTGCCAGTTTGGCCTCGCGGTTAATGAGGCGGTGACGTCACACGGGTTGAGAAATGTCAATCTCGTTAGGACACGAGGCAATGCGTGGTTATGGCTCGTTGGTGGGATTCAATATGTAGCGTACATAATGTTAAATAGCTCCCACCGCACTGACACAGGTGTGCATTACTGAATGGGACATGTGCCCTTGACTGGGCAAATTATATTACAGGAGAGTTGATTGTCTATTGATGTACTATTATTGATTTGTTTCATGTCTATGATTGGTGTAATATTATTGCTTGGGTGTAACGTTATTGATTTGCATCTTCATTATTGGTTTGGTTGATGGGTTCGAGAGAGAAGAGGTCATGAGTGATAGGGTCGAGAGAGAAGGGGTCATGGGTGATGGGGTCGAGAGAGAAGGGTTCGTGAGTGATGGGGTCGAGGGAGAAGGGGTCGTGAGTGATGGGGTCGAGAGAGAAAAGTGTGTGAGTGATTGGGTCGAGAGAGATGGGGTCTTGGGTGATGTGGAGCTTTATAAAATGTTTTTGTATAAAGCTCTTCCCTGTATTCGTTGTTTGTTTTTTTCCAATTCTTTCGTCAATAATTTACATATTCAAAAAATTGAAATTTTTAAAGAAAATCATGTTCTACTTTTTAAGTCTTAGTCTCTTTATACTCGTTTCGGGAAGAAATTATTTTCTTTAGTCTTTATTTCCTCTCACACTGACCTGCACCGGACACGAGCACGTAATTGCCCACGCTGACGTCCCCTCTCTCACATGCAAAGAATCCCAAAGCCAGTGGCTGGACCAAGGCGCCTTCATCAAAACTGACATTGTCTGGCAGTCTGCGGACGTCGATAGAGTTCATTGACATAAATAGGGAAACGTTGCTCATCAGCTTCATTTCAAGCTTTAAAAAAAAACATGATTAGTGTAGGCCTACACCGTACACCGTTCTAATATGCTACGATTTCTTGTCTATGTTAATGTACGATCTCTTGTGATGTAAATTGTACGATTTCTTGTGATGTAAATTGTACTATTTCTTGTGATGTATATAGTACAATTTCTTGTGATGTTAAGAGTACAATCTCTTGTGATGTTAAGGTTACTAACTTGAAGACGAAATCAGCAGGGTGGCAGAAGTATCGACACAGACATCCGTTGGTAGGGGGCGTGGCAAGGTACCTGAGACATTCACACACGTTGTACCGCCCCTTCTTACAGAACTGACACCTGCGGCATGGCCTGGACGGCTCCACGGCTACTCTGTCACCTTATCAAACATACGTTGATTTGTTTATATCTATTCGTAAATGTCTACTTTAAGTTATTTGCTTAACACATATGCTTTGCATTCGTTTCTATTCCCATAAGATTCCAAAAAATCTCCCTTGGTACATCTGAGATGACCAGAGGCGTAGGGAGGGTGTTTGGCGCCTGGGGACAAAATTCGCGCCCGGGGACAAGATCCATTTTAAAGCGCCCCCGTTTCTTTTTTTTCAACTCTCAAACCCATTATTTTTATATAATATCAAAGCACATTATGGCGCCCCTAACTAGCTTGCGCGCGGGGACCTCTATCCCCCCTGCCCCCCTCGCTACACCTCTGGAGGTGACCCACGTACTTAATTCTCCTTGAATTTCTTTTGTTGTTTAAGTATACTTTTATATCGTATCCCAGTTAGTTCAGCATACTTTTATATCGTATCCCAGTCAGTTTAGTATAATTTATATCGTATCCCAGTCAGTTTAGTATAATTTATATCGTATCCCAGTTAGTTTAGTATAATTTATAGCGTATCCCAGTCAGTTTAGCATAATTTATATCGTATCCCAGTTAGTTTAGTATAATTTATATCGTATCCCAGTCAGTTTAGTATAATTTATATCGTATCCCAGTCAGTTTAGTATAATTTATATCGTATCCCAGTCAGTTTAGTATAATTTATATCGTATCCCAGTCAGTTTAGTATAATTTATATCGTATCCCAGTCAGTTTAGTATAATTTATATCGTATCCCAGTCAGTTTAGTATAATTTATATCGTATCCCAGTTAGTTTAGTATAATTTATATCTTATCCCAGTCAGTTTAGTATAATTTATATCGTATCCCAGTTAGTTTAGTATACCGTATTTCCAGCGTATAAGACGACTGGCCGTACAAGACGACCCTTACTTTTCCTTTTAAAATCTAGGGTTTGGCTGTACACCAGCTCATAAGACGACCCCCACCGTATAAGACGACCCCCGACTTTTGAAAAGATTTTCATGGATTAAAAAGTCGTCTTATACGCAGGAAAATACGGTACTTTTTATATTGTATCCCAGTTAGTTTGTTATACTTTTATCTCGTATCCACGTTATTTTAAAATACTTTTATATCATATCCTAATTATTTTAGTATACTTTTATATCGTATCCCAATTTTTAATAAAACAAATTGTATGAAATGGCATAAAATAGTGCCCCACTTGCTGATGTCACTCAAAAGTTCTGTCCACTTACCCACTTTTAACTGTGTCACGCCTGCACCCAACTTGGTCACAACGCCACTAGGCTCGTGACCCATGACCATTGGATCATTGACCACGTAACTGCCTATCTGACCATACTGCCAGTAACCAACATCAGAGCCACAGATGCCCACTGACCTAATGCTGAGTTGGACCTCTGGTCATTGAAGAATTTTAAAGGGGTTAAGTTATTATGTAAAAACTTAAATCTGGCAATGAAGAAGACACTTTTTAACTGCTTACAAGCTACTTACCATCTACCTCCTACCACTGCCACCAACCTCCTGCCACCAGCTACCTGCCACCTACCTCCTGCCACCTGCCTCCTGCCATCTCCCACATACCTCCTGCCACAAGCCACCTGTTACATAACTCCTGCCATCTACATCCTGCCACAAGCCACCTACCTCCTGCCACCAATCACCTACCTCCTGCCACCAGCCACCTGCCTCCTACCACCTACCTAATTCCCCCTGTAACTTACCACCTACCTCCTGCCACCTACATCGACCAAACTATTACATTTTCATATTCCATTGGCTGAAAATATAAATTATGAACTATCACCAACCCCCACCAAAATCTCCTGTTTTACAAACACCTACCCCCTTCTCCTGGCTCTGGTATGGGGTTGTCCACCTGTGAGAAAGATACACCAATTTATTAACAAACTCAAAGACAAAAATGCCCAATGTCTCACCAAGAAAAAATCTATTCCAAATATGTTCTTTTTTGAACGATGTCAACACATATTGACATAATTGTTCCTTCCTAACTCCTTGCGTAATCAAAGGCACGGGCTGTATGGTATTTATTTCTAAACTGAGTAAATAATTATGTTAATAATAGCCATTAACCGTCAAATATGACGGATTTAAAAAGAAAACATATTGGTTTTCACCAAATCAAAGTTGTTGTTTTTTACAAATACTTGTTCCTTAGGCTCACGAGATTAAACTCCTACTTGTAAATGGGATTCTTAAACTCCCACTTGTAAATGGGATTCTTATAGGCACGGTGAATGTTAGATTTGTTTCTTTGTACTGAAATCCAACTCATTTTAAATCTGATAAAATAAATAACTTTATTAGTAGATTAGAAGTTCAAGCTTTGTCACCGCCAATGTTCGCAGGTTATTTCTAATATAAATGCTCAAAGGGGGGCAGAGGCGTAGCGTGGGGAGGGCAGGGGGGACAGATGTCCCCGGGCGCCAGCTAGTTAGGGGCGCCAAAATGTGCTTTGATATTATTTTATTGATGAAAATAATGGGTTTGAGAGTTGAAAAAAAGAAAAAAGTGGCGCTATAAAATGGATCTTGTCCCCGGGCGCCGAACACCCTCGCTACGCCTTTGAATGGGGGGGGGGGGGGATTAAATTTTTGGGATTTTTGTTTGGTGGGTTTTGGGGTTGTTTTTGTTTTTTTTTTTTTTTTTTTAATTTTGTTAATTTAAAATTTGCTCTAAATAACTGTAATAGTTTGTTTTTTTAGTTTTTTTTTTTTTTGGTTGTTTAAAAAATTAGAGGGCGTGAAGAAATCAAAACAAGTTTATCTATGTTTAGTCATGAAACTGACTAGTCTTAAAAGCTGTGCCTAGCGGTAACTGTTTGCTCATATAATCAATTACATTTCCGGAGTACGTTTCTTATTATCTGAAGACCATTTTTTGGTCATTCAGAATTGTTTTAAACAGTATACTTAAAAACTAATGCGTTACCAGACGTAAGTCCTTGATCCCAAACAATACGAGACTTAAGTTTTCTGTCATAGCTTCCTGGTCGTGCCTAATTAAAGAATAATATCATGAACAATAAGCGCCAGAAGATGGTTATCTGCCCTTGGGTTAAACCTGTGACAGGGGAGACAATTTTACAAAAGGATTAAGGTGACTTTTTTTTTTTTTTTAAACAACCAACCAAACACAACACAATTACAAAATCTACATCTTTGATGAGGATATCCTGAAATTTTTGTGATCGTTTCCAGTATACCAATCAATACAAATGAATAGAATATTGAAAAGAACACCTTAAGAAATACAGTGATTTAGCTAATGTAGCTAAGCTTAAAGCCAACCCCCACCTCCCCCCCAACCCCGTAAGCGTGGAAGTACAGTCAAATCACAATTTCTCCGATAGTTTACTAGAGTGACCTTGAAATGAAATGTCTCNNNCCCCCCCCCCCCCCAACCTTTTTTCAATAGTTTGCCTTACATTTAAAAGTCCTGTGTCCTTAATCAAACTTCAAATGCCGTTTCATTTTCTTACTATTTTTTTCACGCAGCTTGCAGGCAATCTCTTCTGTCTTTATTGCATTATTATGCTGTATTATTATTGTATTATTATGCTGTGTTATTATTTTATTATTATTCTATATTATTATTATATTACTATGCTGTATTATTATTGTATTTATTATTGTGCCATATTATTATGCAATGAAAAACTGGAGATGTTCTATCGTTTACTCTCTTCTTTTCACCTGTAAATACTAAGCTGAGACTTCATTTTTTTTTTTTTAAATATATATGTGGGTGAAATATCAATTCCATACAGCTAAATATAGGAATTAAAACAAAGTTCAACAAAAACCAAACTTTTTTTTTAAACACGTCATCTCTCATTTATATAATTTTACATTCTTTATAAATGTATAGTTAGTAAAAAAAAAAATTTTACATACTAAATTTGAGTCTTACAAATTCTTTGAGTTCCTACAAATAGATGTCTACAGATGATGTACTTACAATTTTGTTAGAGATTATGTTGACACGGGTCTATGCCTGACACTTACAGATGTGTAAGTATTTACGCATTTATTTCTCTTACATTTTATAATTAAAATGTCTATTTGATCTAATTTCAGACTTGTATAGGGTACACTTCCATTTGTCTTAACCAGGGTCTCTCAAACAATGGCCCTAGTTGTACACTGCTCTGTTCAATGTGGCATCAGAGATGTAGCAAAAAAAAAAAAAAAAAAAAAAAAAAAAAAAACAATCCAGTGCATTTATAAGTTCCGAAAGCTGATGATGCACCGTGGATTCTTTGGTGCACACTTATTTTTTTTTTTAAATTTAGAGCCAAGGAGCTAAAAGATATGCTTACAGCTGACTATAGATCTTACTTTCAGATTTCTGCATTATATATATTAGTAGAAGATGCTGGTTTGTGATTAGTGAAAAAAAATTTCACCAAAAAACCCACCCAAAAAATCCGTTTACCGTGGACAGAGTAAATACGCAAGATCGTGTTTACCGTTTACCGTGGACAGAGTAAATACGCAAGATCGTGGTTGAAAAGAGACTCACGCGAACATCTAAAGAAATACCCTCTGTACAATGACCATTAAAAGCAGCTAGAGATGGACTTTCATCACCTTGGGGTCCGCGCATGGAGGCGGAAAGCCATGGAATCGCTCCGAATGGAAGGATGTGGTGAAGAAGGCCAGGGCCCGGCATGGGCTGCAGCGCCACTGATGATGATGATCAGAAGTAGCTAACCTACCTAGGCCTAAAGCCATCCAATTGTAAGAGAGGCAATCATGAAGGAAAAAGTTAATTTTCTTCGAAATTGTAGAGTGATCTGGAATAAGCAATGTTTTTGTTGTTATTTTTTTCTGCTCAATATTTTGCCTTATTTTCCTTGTGTCTATGGGCTATAGGCTAAACTTTCAGATTACTACATTATATTTATATACTTACAGTTCGTTGAAAATATATATTCTTCCAGATGCTGTATTACAAGTATTTAATTCTTGTAACAGTAAACTTCTCCTCCAACACGTTTCGTTGTCACTGGTTCTAAAACCCCGATATTATGTCAGAATATTATCGCCCCTTTGTTAAAGAAATTAAAGTTAGTGTCTGAAAGCTGCTAGTAAAATTATAAGGATAAAGCCATGGTTAATATTGAATGAAGAAACCCCCCAAAAAATTTGTTTTTAACCCTAAAAGGCAAATGTGGAAGTCATGTCACGTGACGAATGAGGCAGCCACCGTTAACATTGGCCCATGAAATTAACATAGCTCGGCACTGGTCACGTTACTTAATGGAACGCTATTAGTTTTTATTTCGTGCTTAGAATGCATCATAGATCAAGTGTACAGAAACACCTTTTGACAGGAAGGTTTGTTGAATTCAAGCCGTGTATGATCTAAGAGTGCTGTGGAGTATTTGTAAGCAGCCCAGAGGCGTAGCGAGGGGGGGGCAGATGTCCCCGGGCGCCAGCTAGTTAGGGGCACAAAATGTGCTTTGATATTATTTTATTGATGAAATAATGGGTTTGAGAGTTGAAAAAAAGAAAAAGGGGCGCTTTAAAATGGATCTTGTCCCCGGGCGTGAATCTTGCCCCGGGGCGCCAAACACCCTCGCTACGCCTCTGAAGCAGCCTATGCTATTATATGGCATAATATGGTCCAGGGTTTAGAGTATCAAACTACGGTACCGCACAAGAAAGGTAGAAATAGGATACAAGAGGATTGGTAACACCAACTGTCTCACACTCACTCCCAACCCATTTTCATCCTCCCCTTAGCCCGGCCTACACTCACAATCCTCTTTATAATTCTATACATTAGATATGAAAGTTGTGTGTGCTTTTTTTTTTTTTGTTGTTGTTGTTTATTAGGAAATCACAATTCATTTAAGTCAAAATCAAGTTTTTATGCATGGAATTATTTTTTTCATTGTTTCCAAATGAACTAATTTTATAATTCTAAAAATTAGATATGAAAGTTGTGTTTGTTTTTTTTTTTTTTTGTTGTTGTTGTTTATTAGGAAATCACAATTCATTTAAGTCAAAATCAAGTTTTTATGCATGGAATTATTTTGTTCATTGATTCCAAATGAACTAAAAACATACGGTAGTGAAATTGAATTGTATACACTAACTCAAATATCTTGTTATGTCCTCGGTAGTATAGTGGTAAGTATCCCCGCCTGTCACGCGGGAGACCGGGGTTCGATTCCCCGCCGGGGAGGATTTTTTTTTTTTTTCAATACCCTCTTTTTATTATTAGGTTGCTTTGTTAGTTTATGGTGGAATCTTGCATCTCAAATTTGACCCACGTGCTGATGTCCAACTTGATGCAACTGAGCTGAAACTTTGTACGCCAACCCACCCCTGCTGACAATACAACCTTTTTACCTTGCTCCTTAACTCTCTATAATTTTTCTGACACCACCTTGTTTTGATGTAAAACACAATATTTTAAGAAATGAAACGAATTCTAAGTTCAATTAAAAATAACAACTGCTAATGTATTACTTAAATATATTATGAAATGTGCATCATTATTGTCACACAAATGTAATAGTTCAATAAGCGTCTACAAAATACAAAGGAAATTACATTACAAGCAAAATTCAAAATGATAATGCAGGCAAAACGCTTCACCTCATTACAGCGGAGTCTTGGATGACTGCCACTTCTGCTCTATTACTATTAGGTCACTTCTTCTGTCCTGTTTTGGCCCTAACGGTCAATGGTAGTTGCTGGTTCTTTTAACTGCGTGTGGCTGCAAAGTGCTGGTATCTGTCTAGTGTCAAGAAGTATACACACTTGTAAGGACTGCTTCAAAAAGCACAAGATAAAGGCTGACTATTCCTCTATGTGGACTTTTGTGGCAAGAACTGGTACATCAGTGGCGCTACAGCCCGTGTAGGGCCCTGCCCTGCTCCACCACATCCTTCCATACTTAACTATCCATGGCTTTCTGCCTATATGCCTGAACCCCCAGCCCCCAACAGGTGTAAATCCTTCTCTACATCGTGGATCCATCTCAGCTTGGGCGACGGTTTCTGCCTGTATATCAGTTATGCTGCTCTACATTCCGGCATCCTTTCAGTATGTCCTACCCAGCTCAGTCTGCCTTTTTCTTTATTGTTGCGACTATGTAAATATTATACCGGTAATAGTAAAAAAAAAATATGTAGCCTGAGAGAGACTGATTCCATGGGCTCTGAAGTTTCCTTTGCCTTGTAAGGGAGTGGGGAGTCAGTTGCATGTTTCAATTCTTCATATAAACTTTACATTTACCTGATTCACTTCAGAGAGGTCTTAAAATGTTTTCAAAACTTGGTAGGGTATCATTTAGTTTCTTTAACTTACTTACTTTAAGCTCTCTGATATTTCACCTGATCCAGAAATTTTGTCTGAAATAGTTGCAAACCATACCGTCCTAGAGTTATGATGCAGAGAGGTGGCTGCATCAGGTACCCATGTGAGAGATGGGGAGGGCCAGCGGCATATAGGGGACTGGCCACTGCGTGTTTGTTGACATTTTGCGTAGTTCATCTCGAACTTGCTCTGCTCAGTTTCCCATAGGACGCCAAAGACTTGTGCTATTATATCTGGCCTGCATTCTCCTAGCCAACTCCTACTCTCCTGAACCCAACCCTGGACCAAGCATCGCTACGGGTGCTGGCTATCCTCCATCGCATACCCGCTCATGTTCCCAGTCATTACGGACCTGCGGTACTTGTGACCTTGCAGTGCAGTGGGAAGACAGAGGCGTTGCATGTGAACAATGTGGGCAATGGTTCCATGGTCAATGCCAAAGCATCGACACAGACTATGACAAACAGCATGGGGAAAATTCTGGCATGCCGTGGTACTGTGCTGTCTGCGGATGCCCGAATAGCCAGATCGTGTTTGACCTCCACAGTTCAAGGTCAGAATCCACCCTCCCAGATTTCTCCCTAAATTCCTCATGCACCACACCAACGAACCTTCAGAGTTTTCAGCCACCACACTGCTCTACTCCTATGCGCTGCAGTCAGCAAGACAAATGGAAACACAGACCATTGCGCATATTGAATGTGAACTTTCAGTCTGCAAGTGGAAAGAGAGTCGAGATAGCCAATTTGATAAACAGCTTAAAGCCTGACATTATCTTGGGCACAGAAACATGGCTGAATCCCTCCATAGCCAACGCAGAGGTTGTACCGGATTGTTTCAAATTATTCAGACGAGATAGAAAAGACAAAGGAGGAGGAGTACTTGTTGCTGTCCATGACAGCCTGGACTGTCACGCTGTTCCAGAACTAGATGTTGATGAATGCGAACTCCTGTGGGTGAAGGTGGAGCTGAAGGGTAGACGCACACTTTCCTTGTGTGCCTATTACAGGCCCAACACAGCAGATGAACCAAGCCTGAGGAGGCTTGATGTGTCACTTCAGAGAGCAATGCAGTCTAAGAACGTTTCTCTCCTTATAGGGGGAGATTTCAACTTTCCTGGTTGGAACTGGCAGATTCCTGCTTTGAAGCCCAAGTCCCCATACCCGGCCCTACACTCTGAATTCATGGAGATAATTAACAACCATGGTCTGGAACAGATGGTTAAAGAACCCACGAGAGGGGAAAACACTCTCGACCTACTCCTCACTAACAGTCCACATCTCATCCCAAGAGTAGAAGTCATCCCCGGAATATCAGACCACTGCATACCGTACTGCGAATTTCAAGTCAGCGTGCTAAAAAAGAAACAGGCTGTGCGAGAAATCCCCATTTATTCAAAGGCAGACTGGGATAGCCTGAGAAGTGCAACGACTGAGCTGAGTTCAAACATGCATGAGATTCAGGGTAATGCGACAACAGAAGAGCTGTGGATGAAATTCAAGACAACAATCACTGATGCAGTGATGAAATTCATACCACACAAGACCTCAAAACCTAAGACAAATCAACCATGGGTTACGGCTGAAATCCAAAGGCTCATACACAGGAGAGACCGCCAGTACAAACGTATGAAGAAGAATGGGTCGGTCGAACTAAAAGCCGAAGTACTGAGGCTCCGAAGAACCATCCAACGCTTACTGCGCAGATCCTACTGGAACTACCTGAACGGCATCTTCTCAGAGGAAGATACTACCGCCAAGAACAAGCGGTTCTGGAGCTATGTCAAGCATCAAAGGTCAACAAACATCGGAGTTTCCCCCCTGAGATGGGAAGGCAAGTTGACGTCTGAACCCAAAGAACAGGCGGACATACTCAATCAACAGTTCCAGTCGGTCTTTGGGGATGGTAGAGAGTACTCAGAAGTTGAGTTCCTGCTGAAGACCAAGATGATGAGCACAGCCTATCCCACCATGGAAGATATCAAGATCTCAGAGAAGGGTGTGCTGGAACTTCTTAAAACCATTAACCCCTTCAAGGCATGTGGTCCTGACAACATCAAGCCACGAGTGCTAAAAGAATTGGCCGAAGAAATCGCTCCTGCATTAACAATCCTTTTCCAATCGTCGCTATTCACAGGCAAAGTTCCAACTGACTGGAGAACAGCGTATGTCACTCCGATCTACAAAAAAGGAGAACATTACGACCCAGCCAATTACCGCCCTGTATCCCTCACTAGCGTAGTATGTAAACTATTGGAACACATAATCGTAAGCGCGGTCATGAATCACCTGGAGAGAAATAATATACTCAATGACTGTCAGCATGGCTTTCGAGTCAACAGATCATGCGAGACCCAACTCCTTGAATTTGCTGAAGAGTTGACGACCAACTTGGAGAACAGCAAGCAGACTGATGTGCTTGTGCTGGACTTTTCAAAAGCGTTTGACCGTGTCAACCATAGCTTGCTATTGCACAAACTGCATAGATATGGGATCCAAGGCACTACCAAAACATGGATCTCTAGCTTCCTCAGCGACCGATGCCAGGCAGTAGTGGTAGATGGCAAAACCTCCTCCTTTGTCAGTGTTAAGTCAGGGGTCCCCCAGGGCTCAGTGCTAGGCCCTTGTTTGTTCCTAGCATATATCAACGATCTGCCCGAGAAGCTGACCTCTCAAGCAAGACTGTTCGCAGACGACACGGCGGTATATAGGACAATCGTCAACAGCTCTGACCAGAGCCAGCTTCAACAAGACCTCAATCGGTTAGCTGGGTGGGAGATGAGCTGGGACATGGAATTTCATCCCGTCAAGTGCCAGACCCTGTCAGTCTCCAGAAGCAGGTTCCCTCTAAACCACTCTTACGAACTGCATGGCCATATTCTTGAGCCAGTTTCCTCCGTTAAGTACTTGGGTGTTACCATCCAAAGAGAGGTCCGCTGGGACGAGCACATTAACAGTGTGTGCAACCGGGCAAACAAGACCCTGGGGTTCCTAAGGCGCAATCTGAAGATCGGCAACTCAAGCGTGAAAGAAAAAGCCTATAAAGCCTTTGTCCGACCTATTTTAGAGTATGCTTCTACAGTCTGGGACCCATTTACCCAGAAAAGCATAGACAGGTTGGAGGCGGTCCAGCGACGGGCAGCACGCTTTGTCATGAACCGCTACAGAAGCACCTCGAGTGTTGGCAGCATGCTGGAAACACTGGGCTGGTCGACATTGGAAGAACGACGACGACTATCCAGGCTCACCATGTTGTACAAGATAACAAATGGACTGGTGCACTGCTCCGGAATCAAACAGAAACTCGTTAATCTTCCCCCCAGACTGCGACGAAGTCACGACAAACAGTTCCGGCTGGTAAAAACAAGAACGAAGTACAGAAGCTCCTCATTCCTGCCGAAGACAATAGGGGACTGGAACAAGCTTCCAAAAGCAACAGTTGAGGCGGCTACACTCGATACATTTGTGTCTATTGCCTCCTGTATTCCAACCCCCAGTTCATAACACCACTGCTGAGTCGCCCTTGCAACCAGTGAAGTATCCCATTGAAACCCATGGACAGTAACATCGCAAACCTCTCTGAAACATAGGAGCCAGAATGATCAATTCATTGATCGTGGGCCCTTAAAATAAAGAAGAAGAAGATATAGGCCCTACATCAAAATATAAATACAATTTAAACTTATAAGGGGCGGCAGCGCGTTCAACTAGCCAACCGAGGGTCCCAGGTTCTAATCCTGGTGAAGGCTAGTATTTTTTCCTGGTTCTTGAGTGTGTCCTTGAGTCTGCCCAGCTATGATGGGTACCTGGCATTAGTAGGGGAAAAGTAAAGATGGCTGGCCATTGTGCTGGCCACACACTCAGTTAATATGCCATAGCCATAGAAATTTGTGAACGCTGCTTCAATTGCCCCATGGGTAGGCTAATATGATCTGAAAGGGAGCTTTACTTTCCGAAGACTTGCATCATACGAATATACTGCGGGGTTCCAAATAAATTTTGTATGCCTTTTTATATTTAGACCCATTGCTACAACAGAAGCAGTATGATGCAGAGGCCTAAATTTGTTGATAGCTAAAATTGTTGATGTCAAATATATGTTTTCAGAATGTTCATTTGATTGTCATTACAAGTGTTATGTAACTATTTCTGGAGCGGCATGTTGTGTGCATACTTTTTATGACCGTCATTAGAAACTACTATACAGGGCTATATCCCCCAAGACCTAAAGGATGCAAATATAGTGACACTATATAAAAACAAAGGTGATAGGAGTGATTGCAATAATTATCGCGGCATTTCACTCCTTAGTATTGTAGGAAAGGCCTTTGCCCGTGTCATACTAACACGTTTACAGAGTCTAGCATCCCGTGTCTATCCAGAATCTCAGTGCGGTTTCCGGTCTGGGCGGTCTACCATAGACATGGTGTTCTCCATACGACAGCTCCAGGAAAAATGCAGAGAGCAGCAGATGCCACTGTACATTGCCTTTGTGGACCTTACAAAAGCCTTTGATTACGTCAGTCGCAACGGGCTATTCAAAATACTGGCAAAAATCGGCTGTCCCCCTCACCTACTTGCCATCATCAGAGAGTTCCATGAAAATATGCAGGGTACAGTGCAGTTCGATGGAGCCAAGTCAGAAGCCTTTCCAGTCAGCAGCGGAGTTAAACAAGGTTGTGTACTCGCACCAACACTGTTCGCAATATTCTTCTCTGTACTACTTCGATACGCATTCAAGGATAGCAGTGAGGGAATCTGGTTACACACCAGAGCTGATGGAGGACTTTTCAACACTGCCCGCCTCCGAGCCAAGACCAAAAGTACAGATGTCCTAATTCGCGAGCTACTATTTGCGGATGATGCGGCACTAACAGCACACACAGAAATTGGTTTGCAACAACTCGTGTCAAGCTTCTCCAATGCCTGCAAAGAATTTGGTCTGCAAATCAGCTTGAAAAAGACAAACATCATGGCCCAAGACACTCGACCTCCACCTAACATAAAAATCGATAATGAAAACTTGGAGGTTGTGGACAGCTTCACCTACTTGGGGTCCAAGGTCTCCAATACACTGTCCATTGAAGAAGAAATTAACAGCAGAATCGGCAAGGCAGCTGCCACAATGGCTAAACTAAATAAACGGGTCTGGCAAAACACCAAGCTAACGGAGAAAACCAAACTGTGCGTCTATCGAGCTTGTGTCATCAGTACACTACTATACGGGAGCGAGACATGGACCACCTATACATCCCAAGAGCGCAAGCTTAATAGCTTCCATATGAGATGCCTGCGTCGCATCCTTGGTATTAAATGGCAAGAAAAAGTGACTAATAGTGAGGTCCTAATGCGTGCGAATACCCAAAGCATGTTCACAATCCTTAGTGAAAGACGCCTGAGGTGGCTAGGTCATGTTAAAAGAATGAGTCCCGGCCGCATTCCGAAAGACCTCCTATATGGTGAACTTGCTTCGGGAAAGAGGAAAACAGGTCGCCCACGTCTGCGATTTAAAGATGTCTGTCAAAGGGACATGAAAGCAGCCAAAATACATACAAGTGACTGGGAGTGTAAGGCAAAAGACCGATCTACGTGGCGCACAGTTGTCAAAGAGGGCGTCATGGTAGCCGAGGAGCGAAGAATGGAAGAGGCTGCAGACAGAAGAGCTAGGAGAAAGGCCAAAACATTTAGAAGCACGGAACTCGTGTGTAAAAACTGTGGTAAAGACTGTCACTCAAGGATAGGACTGCACAGCCACTCGAGAAAATGCAACCCAACCAAATGGTGATGCACCATCGTCTCACGAGACGGAAGGATGCCGATAATAAGCTAAGAAACTACAATTAAACCATTAAATTTTAACATTGTATCTAAACCTTAAATACACAACTCTGAGATAAAAAATATTTGAATATGTTAATGTTTATTTGCTTATTAGTTTAGTAGAAAAAACAAAAGGACGTTATATTTTTATAGTCAATAAATAGAGTTATACAAAGAAAAAAAAATTTTAACAGCCAAAAGAGATTATATACAAGTATATATGTACAGTTAGAACAGCTATTAGGGTTCTGACGCTTAAATGATTTTAAAATTTCCAAACTTTTCCCAAACTTTACAAAGAATTCCCAAACCAATTTTCACTGATGTGTGAAATTTAATTGCATCATTTAAAAAAAAGTATACCTGAAGGTAAAATAATTAGATGTATTACAACTTGCCACAAATGCACTTAATTTGAACTAGTAAATGGACTCTTACATGATACAAGAATCAACAAATCATACAGTGTGATTTAAAAAACAATAAAAGCGCTTGAATGACATTACAATTATAAAAAAATTCCCCCAAGCAATTAATGCAAAACTATTTATTTGGTTTGGAAGCGGTACGCACTACCATTGTGTTTGTTGATTGCTGTTTAGAGTGGTAGTGGTACAACTACCATTGTGTTGTGAGTGTGAGGGCTGTGTAGAGTGGTAGTAGAGTGAAGAAAAAGGGCTCATGTAATTCTGAAAGGTCAATGACAGCTACAGGACAGTCGGATTTAATGAGGGAGAAAACTCTGTTCAGATGAGATAAGGCAGTTTAAAAGGCATGCTCCCCTCATAAAGGAAAGAAATATTCAATGGCCTTAATTATTGTCTACTACTACTAGTAAGATGGTAATGGGACTCAAGAGTGCTAGCATTTCTCGTGGGAATGACTTCATGTGTGATGCTGTGATCATTGGAGACATGAAAAGGTGGATTGACAGGGGTCCTGGCATTTCTCGTGGGAATGACTTCATGTGTGATGCTGTGATCATTGGAGACATGAAAAGGTGGATTGACAGGGGTCCTGGCATTTCTCTTGGGAATGACATCATGTGTGATGCTGTGATCATTGGAGACAAGAAAAGGTGGATTGACAGGAGTGCTTTTAAAGCGTTCATTATTACAAGGATATACCGGTAGTGGCTAACAAAGATCTGAGTGTAGAGCAAATATGTGTCGACAAGGTAAATGAATTTAAAGAAGAAATCACAAGAACAGGAATGAACAGTGCAGTCACATGAAGAAGAGCCAGGTGTTGATGATGACAAATTGTATGTGTCAGGACAAGTTAGAGAGCATTGAAAAATATAGTGAGTTTTCTTAGAGAGAAGAAATTGTTCTATGACAATTTTTCCCCTAAAAGGAGTAAGGTCATTCTGAAATGTGTTAACAATATCAGAATATTATATTTAGTGTTGTATTTTAATGAAATAGAATGTGTGCAAGATGAGACATCTCTTGCTTGCATTGTGCTCTTTCTTATTCAGAGCAGTTCATTTATAAAACACTGAGGGGTGTTTTAGATGTTAGGACTTGCTTTATTTTTTTATCAGATGTCTCACTAGTCTCAGCATGATTAGTGGTGTTTATGTGAAAGGTGGCGGATTCTACTAAAGAAGCTGCCCAAAGTTGGGGACAGTTCCACCAGTTGGATTGAAAGTACAAAACAACTTCTGGATATGAAATATCAGATATTTTATCCCTAAGCAAAATGAACTGAGACAAAGCTCTGCAGGATTTTTTTTCTGCAAACAGATCAAGTATGCAAGAAATTTGAGGAGCGGGCAGCTTTCTCTGCTGGAGAGCTTTTTTGACAGCTGTGGCTGTGAGAGGGCAGCTTTCTAAGCTGGAGAGCTTTTTTGACAGCTGTGGCTTGAGAGGGCAGCTTTCTCTGCTGGAGAGCTTTTTTGTCAGCTGTGGCTTGGGAGGGCAGCTTTCTCTGCTGGAGAGCTTTTTTGACAGCTGTGGCTTGAGAGGGCTGCTTTCTCTGCTGGAGAGCTTTTTTGACAGCTGTGGCTATGAGAGGGCAGCTTTCTCTGCTGGAGAGCTTTTTTGACAGCTCTGGCTGTGAGAGGGCAGCTTTCTCTGCTGGAGTGCTTTTTTGACAACTGTGGCGTTGTGAAAAGCACAGAGTCTTATAGACACATCTGGAAGACATGTGCGAATGGCACACATTTCTGCCATGTTCTTGTCTACAAATACAGTCTTCGTCAAGTTAGTAGTAAATGAAGAGACAAAAACAGAAGACAAGAAGAGAGAATGAGGGTGTCTTCTGACTCCAGAAGCGCATGAAAGACCGGCCTGCCTTGCCATGAGTTACAAGGATGTTTAGTAGCGGATAGTTATTTTACCTTATATGTGCTGTCCATTATAAGGACCTTGGGAAACTGAGATAAGGTTCGCAACATATCCTGGGTCATGAAAGAACGGGCTGCTTTGCACATTGCCTTCAATTACAAGGATGTTTAGTAGCGGATAGTTATTTTATTTACCTTGTATGTGCTGTCCATTATAAGGACCTCAGGAAACTGAGTTAGGCTCCACAACATATCCTGGGGTATGAAAGCAAAGAACTTCAAGTCCCCACCCTAACTCATTCCATACTTCATATCGCGGCCCAGCCTGCAACTTTTCCAGAATTTCTTCAGCTTTCTCCGATTCTTCTTGGCTTTCTTGATAACTATGTTTCTTCTTCCAATTGCGAACATCTTGATTAAAGATCTGTCTCCCCTCATTTCTTTTCACCATCTCCTTTATGTCTTGGAAGGAGACAGATCTTATCGAGAGAAGTGTCTTGAGGGGGCTATACATCGTTGCCTTCCTATTCTCTGGATGGAGTCGTGAAACCTGAAATAATAAAATATTCACAAATGTTTCAGTTAATTCTAAGGTTGTTTTCTTTTCTTTTTTTTCTTTTTTTTTTTTTTGGGGGGGGGGGGGGATTTTTCCTTGAAAAAAGAAGCCCAAAGTTTTTTATTTTTTTTTTTTTTTTTTTGTTTTTTTTTTTTTTTTTTTTTTTTTTTTTTTTTTTTTTGGGGTGGGGGGGTGACTTTTACATGAAAAAAGAAGCCCAAAGGTTTTCATCTATGACATAAGAAAAGATACTAGAGAATAAAAATATGGTACTTCTTGTTCAATAGGGTGATTCTCATGAACCAGGTTGCAGGTGGTTACTTTCAGATAATGGTTATCTCCACCATCCACCACATGTAAATTTATAAACGATGGGCATCCTACCTTGAATATTCTGTAACAAAAATAATAAAGGCTAAGAACCCCTGTGTATGTATATGGTTTCCACCAGAATTCCTCTTGTTACAATCAAACTTACTACAAACTTAAAAGTAGTTCACAATGTAAATTAATTTATGTATGTTTGTTGTGAAAAATGCTGTGGCTAGTACTTTTTCTTGCCCTAAGCCCTTGCTTGCATGCAAAACGTTTGCTCTCATACTTTAAGGTCTCTAAGTAAGGTGATTCTTTCTTCAACTAAAAGGGAATCATTGGCATAGTAAAGTCATTGTAAATCCATTTATGTAATGGTTTTTGTGATGTGACCATTTCATTATAATTTGTTTGGAAACTAACTGTTACACTGAGGTTTTTATTGTTGGGATCTGTGAGCAAGTATCATAATGGACATCAAAGTCGGTTACATCAAAGTCGGTTATCAAATATAAACAAATGTAGAAAATATGGTGACACAATGTAGTGCAATTTACTATACTATCCTAATTTCTTTCCATTTACAAACATTACGCTGTTAATAAATTTGCATAATATATTTCAATAACATTGGTTTATTTTCAATACTGTTAATATAGCCAACAAAATTTAAAGGGTTATTTAATCAAATTATTTCAATAAAACTAGAAATGTAAGCCCACCAGATAACCAAGTCAATCTAATTGACAAATAAGTCACCATTCATTAGTTCTATTTAGGTCCATTAATCTCCCAGCACATAGTCACATAAGCCTAAAAATCCCACTTTTTAATCATATATTACTTTATTGTACCCGTACAATCCTGTAGGCTATGTAACAAGGTACCTTCAAAAAATGAATTGGAGCAGTCTTCAACCACTATCATCATGTATGGTTTACATTGGAGTTTTTCTAGGGGAGGGCAGATGCTGTAGGGGAAGGAGTTAACAATATCATTGCTGCAGGGGTGTCCCCGGGTCACATAATGAGTGTTGAGAGGGGTGTAGGCAGGAAGAAAGAGAACAGTCTTAACATCTGCAGCCCCTTATTGAAGTAATTTATATATCTATGGTTAATAAACTCAATATGGCATCCTACAGCCCTCCCCTGTCCCAATTACACAGTCAAACCCAGTTTTTAAAGCTATGCCTGCATATCATTATTATTTTTGGTGGTTTTTTTTGTATAGTGCGGTACCCCAGGCTAGGGCTGGGCTCACCAGGCTGTACATACAATTTAACAAACATAATCATGAACTTAAAAATTAACATACATTAGTTAAATAAAACAAAACAAATGTATATTCACTCCACACATTCAAGAACTATTTACATGTCAAGCCATGGAGGGCTATCCCAGCAGCATCCTTTATTGGTCAGAGGGGGAATCAATCAGGATAGCAGAGTTTAAAGAGATGTGTTTTGAGTGCAGTTTTGAAGACTGTGATGATCTGTATATTGCGAATGTGGGGGCACAGAAAGAGAAAGAATGCATATCCTCCAATTCCAATTCATTGCTGAATTATAACAGCACAACTCTATCTAGGCTACATCATTTTTCAAGCAAAATTCTTAACCCCAATCAACGTTACTCTTTCTGCATTTTTTGTGATAATATAAGTTGCAGACAAGATATAGGACTTGTTGCTGGGATTTGTGCCTGATACATGAATCTCATTGTAAAAGTAGCTGTAAGCCTACAGTGCCTACGACTATCTACATAGAGGTTTCTACAACATACCAAACAAAGATAAAATCAAAATAATATATAAAATCATTTTTAGAGTTTATTATTATTATAGAATAAAATGTTTTCTTACTTTATTTGAGCTGTTGGTGACATACAGCATACCACACTCGTCTTCATGTCTCTTAAGAGCAATACAAAAATCTTCTTTTGTTGAAAATCATGCGACTTTCTCGATCGCCATTGTCAATGTCACATTACCAGCCACAAATCTATGTGCATAAATAAATATATACTAATAATATTATTGTTTATAAATATATAAATGTTGATCAATAGTGACTACAGACTTTAAATAAATGTACAGGCTTCTAGGTCTAAATCTTCTTTTAAGCATTCAAGCCGCTTAAAACTAGATAAAACTAGATATGTTAATGCTACTATATAAAACTGTAAAGTAGGAGATTATGAAATGACCAACAATAACAAGTTGTGTTAAGAAAAAAAAGCCCTCCCCCTTTTTTTAAAAAAAAACAACCTTATTATCACGGGTATTAACAAATAATTAGAACAAGCATTTTTTTTTCTAATTTTAAGTGGCATAATATTTAAAGGTTAAAATTACAGGATCATCTTGGATTGTGATTGCTTATGTTGGATTTGAAACTGATTAGATTAGATAAAAAGTAACAAAAAACAAAACTTACCGATTATAAAGAAAGAAAAAACAACCTTAAAATCTGGTAAACTTTGGTGAAACAAATATTTCCAGTAAGAATAACCCTTGAAAAGAACAGCTCAAGTTTTAAGGCTGACGCTATGTAGAATCCACATAAACTTTCAACCAGCTGACCACCTCACAGGCTGAGCTTTATACCAACATCAATTTATTATTGCTGATTTCCGATCACTTAGTCAGAAATAATGCAACCAGCCGTGAATCTGCACATAATGATAATGCTGAGCACTATTAACAGACCAAAATTTTCGAATAAGGATGAGTGTTATGCACACAGCTGTTCGTATAATCACTTTGTTAATTAAATGATTTACCAATGACTTAATCCTTCACTTTAACCTGAAGAGAATCATTTTCATTATAGACCAGATGTCTTTCAATTCATCAATTCAATTTCTGACCATTTGGTGGGTATGGCATGGGGTGTGCCTAGTCCACTACATTTGGGTATTTAAGACAGGTGTACTTCATCTTCAAATTCAAGGATTCAATGGGTTTATTCAATTATTCAAAATTTAAATGAATCAGATTAATCATTGTTTTGATTGTTTAAATTAAAATTTAAAATTAAAATATCCTCATTTAGTCCAACATTTTAGGCTTAGTATATATCTATTTCCATAAAACGTTCGTTTCGTTGAATATATTGAATATCTGTTATTGCTAGGCACTGTACAAACAAAGTGTTATCCCTAGGCATTGTATATTCAAAGAATAAAAAATAATACAATTTTTATAATGACAAAAAGGCTTTGTTTATTTCTATAATTTCTATGGAAGCTGCCATGTTCAAAAGGACTGATCATTGTATTAAACAATTATTGGGGAGGTCATCGTTGTTTTAAATAATTGATTCAAGAGAAAAAGATTTTAAACATTTTTGTAAATTACCCCTTCTAAAAAAAATGCATACCTGTTTAACCTATATTAAAAATAAAAAATACAAAATTGTGCATAATTGATTACCCTTTAATTTGATATCAATGGAAATCGGCTTTTTTCCTTTATTCTCTTTTTTAAAAAGTACTCATTCATTAAAAACTCTAGGATATCCTTTAAAAAAAATCGTGATGTATTATACACTTGTTTGAGCCTATTATCATAATAAGACTATGGTCATTGAGAAGTGAACTAGCGATATACGGATTTTCTTGCTTAAATAATTTCAACAAATTTATATATCTGTCCGTAAAAAAATCATACGATTATTAAAAGTATGTCCGTAGAAATTGAGATTTGGAATATTTGACGGTAAATCCATGTTATTATGACGATTGGCAAATAAAATAGCTGGAACTCTTTTTGATTTCACGTTATGCATTAGGTAATGTTAGATCATTTGCAAATTTTATAGACATTTGAGTATTTTCCCGTCAAAATTTTTTTTATTTTGACAATTACTAGGGACATTAAGTCCGTCCAAAAAAATATTTTATCGTACAATTGGTAGAAAAATTGATGAGTTTGAAAATTTCACTCTACCAGTAACATCTTTTAATAATCTAAATATAATGTGGGTTACATTAAATATTAAATATATTTTATCGTTTTATTTAATCTACTTAGGAAGTATTTATATTTTGTGCTACTTATTGTTATTAAACATTTTTATT